GCCCAAGGACGCAACTGAGAGATGATAAGCTTGCGTTGAAAAATCTCTCCAAGGTAATTTATGCTCAATATCTGTATTATATATTATCTACCTCAAGGCTATATCACTCTTCAGATTTAACTAATTTGCATATTGATTTTTAAAAAGTCTATTTCATTAATTAACTGTCCTTCATTAGTGTTCTTTTATTCAATGATTCTTTTGATTTTCATATCAAAAATATTTCTGTTTAGGAATAATGTCTTATATAGTACAGAAAAAGTTTTTTTACTTGGCATTCAACAAGTTAGCATCTATTTGTAAAACTTTTCGCAACTATAACAAGCCAATTTATGAATGAAATATTCATTTAAGATTTTCAAGTATTTCAAATGGTGAATTTATCTTACTTTGCGAAGTGATAGCGAGCGGCCGAAGCCTGCTAGTTCTATTAAAATGTTTCACTCTGAATGCTGCTTGGCATATTGTACGTTGGTTGGTGTTCATTCTTCAGCATGTATGAATGGGTGAGGAATTTGTATTTTATGTGTAGTTGAACTAGCGTTACTTCATCTTTTTTTTCTTTTTCTAGATATATTTACCTCCGTTCACCGAGTATCGGTTTGATTGGAGGAAGTTTATTATTTGTGTTGTTGGTCCAGTGCTTTTGCCATTTCAGTTGAATGGAACTGTTTATATTACTTTTCAGGCCCGTATAAGGGATCTGGAAATATTATCAGGGGTTTCGTTGTAGCAGATTTTGCATCTGAAACTGATTGGTCATTTTTTCTAATTTCTATGTGGCATGGAATTCAGTATGGGGCCATTTCTTTACTGCTGGATAATGGATCTAGCCTGCAGAACAATTTCACCAGCAGTGGGTTATCAAGTATTTTTTTTTATTTTTTTATTGTTGTTATAACTGATTTTTGTTTCCTTCTCCTAGACCGGTTGCTACCCAAGGCTATAGGATTCAGTTTGACCTGCTATTTACGCATTGCTGTGGAGAAAAAAAAGATGAATTCATACCTTCCCCAAGGGTACTAACTCGTAAGTGAATGTAATGAACTCGACTGGAATTCGAACTCGGTTCTCCGATTCCCCAGTCCGGGTCACTATCCATGGAAACGTAATTAATGACTCTATTAGATTGATAATTTCTCCATTGTGCATGTTACTTCACTGTTGTCTTTATTTTTGTATTTTGCCTTCTTACGATTATTAGGGGCATTATCAAAATCTATCTTTATGACTAAGCATTTAAAATGGAAACAAATTGATAAATTTATTAATAACTATGGTGAAAGATTCCTTCATTATCATTTTAAATTCCTATGACTGTGAAATTGCCTCAATGGCTCCGTCCCTCCAAAATTATTTTAGAAATATACGAATTTATTTCACCAAAAGGGTGGGGGGGGAGATTACAAATTTCTTGTAACAATGACAGCCGCATGTTTACAATAGAGAAAGTCGTTGAAGATCTTTTTTCGCCAACCCGATAGCTAAGTAAACTGTACAGTCTATCTTAATCTACTGAGCTAAAGTAATAAGTTGCTTTCTTGTCGTAATAGAACACAGAATTCCAAAAGTTTCGATGCTTAAAGTGAGGATAGTATTTGCAAAATGCTTTTATATATATATATATAAAACAATTTCTTTTACATAACGTCTACTGAATAGTCTGTTAAACACTTCACAAAATCGTGATACGAAACGTCTATAAACATTTAAATAGGACAAGTGGTATTGTATCTTCACTTAGGACATTTTTTTGTTCGCTTTCAACTCAGTTGATTATAGGATATTGCTTTGACACCAAAGGTGAATCCTCGTAAAGAAGGAAAATGCATATATTGCCATCAAGGAGGTCAGAAGAAGAGGCACGCAAAGAACTTATTCACTTCATTTTTATAGCAGTCATTAAAATTTTGTATTTCCGGAAGTCTCTTGAGTCGCAGGTCACATTTATCCCTCTTTATAGCCTCTTGCTTTTGAAAAAAGGCATTTTGCGAGTCAAATGGTGAGTTCATTGTATGCGATAGACTTTATACTAGGGACCTCCACTAAATATTCGCTACTCAAGATTTAAAAAGAATTTTTAAAATGAAAAAGCATTCTTGAGGCTTTCTTTTTAGCTTTACATGAAAGCTAAATGGTTAAATTTACTATTTCTAGTAAGTAAAATACTCTAATAGAAATTATATTAATTGGAATCTCAACTTTTTGGTCGCTTTCACAAAATCGATTACAATCGGCCATTTTGTCATATTTTGACACATTTGTAAACAAAAGTTAATTCTTGGTTTTAAAAACCTTTCAAAAATAAAATAAAATTTGTGACACGTTATATGATGGAAATTAGCAAATTTAAAGTTAAATTAATCTAATTTTAAATAAATATTATTGACTTATAGCATAAAACATAGTATACAAGCATTTCTTAAACACGCGGACTTGTTTTTATGACGTGTTGAGTGATGTATTGACAACCTGGCGTATTGACAGCTAAGTATGGTTTACCAGAATTTACATAAATTTACGAAATCTAAGTGGACGCTTTGTTTTTGTTTTTTTAACTACCAAGTAATTTTTTAAAAATAACCTAATATTTTCAGCAATTATCTAATATTTTATTAAATTTTAATTATTTTATTAAATTTTAATTATTTTAGTTTTATAGAATCGTCCACTTATGTAAATAAGCGGATTTAAGCTGAGTTGAGGCGGGTTAGCACTAGGTCAATTGCTAAGTGTACCTTTGTGTAGTAAATCTTCCATTTCATTACTTACCTACGAGATTTGTCTTCCTTATTTATTTTCCTCTGTTATCTCGAAAACACGAGACGAAGAATTCAAAGGACGTGGACTTGAAGCAATTTATAACAAATTGACTTGGTAAAAATAACAGTTAAATTCTTTAAAAAATTTCGGTTAATTTGCAGATTAAGACCCGCACTCCGTTTGCAATAAAAATTTTCCGTATACTTACATTTAGGTGTAAATGCACATGCTTCATTTGAAAATGACTTGATAAATTTGATAAAATCTACTGTTTTGAAGTTATCGACAGTAAAAGTTCGGATTCATTCACGTCGAGGCAGACATTACTGGCGTTGTTGGCATACATTTGCTGCGAAACAGCTATGATTGGAATATTCACTTGTCTTGATTATTGAGGTTTGTTCATATTTTTTTTATGCGTTTCACCCCAAGCAAGGCGGGAAGCCACTAGGACGCAAGGGGTTACAGAAAATTTGGAGCAAGATCAGATAGGAGTGATAGAGGAAAGTATGAGAAGGATAGTGGATAGATCAAGGCAACTGGAGATGTCGATTGACATTACATTTGAATAGTCTCAGGGAAACTGGAATAGGGAAGGGAGTTCCACAGGCGAGAGGTGCGAGATATAAAGCTATTGGAGTAGAAGAGACGGCTACATTTAGGAGTTTCGACAGTGAAAGTGTGAGAGCGGGATGTCAGCCTCGTAGGGCGCTTGAATTCATGAAGTCTGGGAACCAGCGAATGCAGCTCCTTGGAGCAATTGCCATGAAAGTATTTGTAAAAAAAGGCAGAGAGAGGCAACGGCGCGTCTGTGAGAAAGTGTCTGTAGACGAGATGCCAGAACGGGGCCAATTATATTGCATATCCGCCTCTGGATCTTATCAAGAAACCCGAGGCAAACAGAAGGGGCTCCAGACCATATATGGCTGCAATACTCCATGCAAGGGCGAATTGTTGATTTGTAGATCTGGAGGATCGATTCCGTGGAGAAAAATTTCCTGGTGCGGCACAGGAAGCCAACTTTCCTTGCGGTGGACGAAGCAATTGACTCAATGTATATGTTCCATCTAAGGTCAGCAGTCAACGTGTGACCGAGCAGCCGCAGAGAGGTGCTCTCGAGAAGTTGAGCGTCAGACATTCTAATGGAGGGCAGGGAAGGATCTCTGTGGTGATTAATAGAGAGCAGTTTTGTTTTTGAAGTATTAAAGTTGACCAGCCAATTCTGCCCCAGTTCACAACCGATTGGAGGTCCTTTTCGAGACGCACGGCCAGATTAGTTTTGTCAGTGACACTAGATTTGTTTTGGAGGCAGATGTAAATTGTAGTGTCATCTGCGTAGATGCCAACTTGAAAATTTATGGCGCCAGGAAGGTCATTTATGTAGATAAGGAATAGAGTGGGGCCTAGCGTTTGTGGGATAGGAACTGGAGGAGAATCCGTTGAGAACGACCTTCAATTCACGGTTTGACAGGAATGATTGTATTAGGTCAAACAATCGACCCGTAATGCCATAACCCTGGAGCTTGCGAAGAAGGCCGGCATGCCAAACCCTATCAAACGCTTTGGAGATGTCTAGGGCCACGGCACGAGCTTCCCCGTAATTTTGAAGAGCTTGCTAGACAGTTTCAATGATGGCCGTAAGCACATCAGCTGTAGATCGGGCAAAGTGGAAACCATATTGCTTGTCTGAGAGTAGATCATGGGATGTAAGGTGGTTAACCACTTCGGTATTGATTAGGGCTTCGAAGACTTTTCCGAACAGGGGTAGGAGACTGATATGTCGGTAGTTAGAAGGGTCAGAGGGGTCGCCAGAGTTCTTGAAGACAGGAACAATCGAAGAGGACTTCCAGCAGTCAGGAAAACAACATTCCTTGAGGCAGTAGTTATATAGTTTAGAGAGGGCGGGCGCCAGTTCAGTAATTAATGTGTTATTCACTTGATAAAAGAGGCTAAAGCACTAATCGTAAATATTACGTTGACCGCTGACGTAAAAAAAGAACAAGATTTTTAACCAAAATTTCAAACGTGACAGAAAGGATTAAAAAATTTAATAACATAATAAAAATAATTTGGTCTTTCTTCTTAATAATGACATAAACATTTTGACGATAAAACTTTGTTTTTATTAAGTTTGGGGCCTTTTTTCATCATGCTATGCTGTTTTCTTCAGTGACAAGTGGAGGTACCTACTTAATACGCAATTAATTTGCAGAAGACCCCAGCACTCGAGACTGAATTCATATCTGGCAAATCATTTTTTTTTCCGCTGGAGACTTCTTCAAACACATGATAGATAGATAGATAGATAGATAGATAGATAGATAGATAGATAGATACTTCCGAATGCTTCCTTTCCAATAACGAAGGTAATGCTTAGCAAAGCTAGTCTGATTGATTATTCGATCTTCACTAGGTGCCTTAAATTCGATATTAAATAACACAACAAGGACTGATATGTCATAAAATCAACTAACCTAACTAAATAGGACCATCGGTTAGTGGTTAGCGAAGCCAGTCTGGTTAACCATTACCACTGAAGAGTGAAAATCGACCCTCAATGGGTACCCTCTGCAAAATTTTACATTAAATAACTGTTGTGGATTCCGGGATGAAATCCGGTCTCAAATGAATGACAAACGCAGGAATGAAATATAGCAAATAAATGTATTGACGTAATAATACAATAGAAATGCGGTTAGTAGCAATAATAATATATATACAGTCTGGGAAATTCACTATCGAAGTAGGACTTCCTTCTGAGTCTACGTGCTCGCAACTGTGACTCCTACAAAGCGGTTACCTCACTCTCTCACTGTATCACTGTATCAGTGCATCGCCCTCTTGTAACTTCCGGGCATTCACCGGCAGCAGTACAAGTACACACTGGGCGAGTCCACTTCTATGAAAAAGGGGTGGACTAACACAAAAGACTAACATGTCGTAAAAAATAATAAAAAAAATAACAAGATAGGAACCTCGGCGTAGACTAACGGTTGGTTAACGCCATTCGGGTTAACTATTACTAATGCATAGTGACGTCGATCCTCACCGGGTGCTCAATGCAAAATATTCACATTAAATAACTCAACAAGGGTTGATAATTTCTGTCTGAATTTCGAGTATGAGAGTTATAATTATTTACCCTATTTACATTCGGATTGTTGTCCTCATCTTTGTTGTTGTTATCATTGAATTTCTGGGATGAGGAGTTATCATTATTTACACTATTAAAATTCGGACTGTTGTCCTTATCTTGGACTTAGTGAAAACGAGCGACCAATAATTAAACGGTACTAAAAAAAAAAAAAAGAACTAGACCCGAGATACCCCGAGACAATGGCAGCGAAACGAGAACAGTCTACCCTCGGAGATTAAATAAAGGATTCAGTTCAGAATTTCCTGTAGGTTATCCAGATCAATATACACCTGATGAAGGTCGGACGGCACAACGACCCAAACGTTGTGATAAAAACAAATAGTCCGAATGTAAATAGTGTAAAATAAATAGTGTAGGCTGATATGTCGTCAAATCAACCAACCTGACTTAGTCTTCCTTGTAATAAAACGAAAAAAGTGCAAATCTGATTTGTACTCGACTGACCTCATTGTGGGAAAGAGATCTCCACTAACCAAACTATCTGTACATATTTGATTTATTTTTTAATGTAGAGGAAAACAAGTTAAAAGTTTTTTTTCACTGTTAATGAGAAGTCTTACACAGCCATTCCCAGTTTGTAAGTAAACGACTTCCCAAATTCGCGGTTATTGCATCATAAAATAAAAATCATTTACTTTAATAATTAAGAGATTTGAGAATCATAGCTTTACGAACCTGCCATAAAATAAGATCATTTAAAACAAAAATAGCCAAGCCATTTTGTTAAAAATAAGATAGACAATGAAAAAGGAACTCAGACTATGATACAATTGTTGAAGATGTCCGGAATGATTGCATGCCGTAACCTGATTATCAAAAGACAAAATATGAGGATGTTAACAATAAGGACAGCACAAGATGCGAGCTATGAAATGAAGACGGTAAAATCAAGCAAATAGAAAAATTTAACTCTCTGAGAATTTTTTACATATTATATCACATCCCAATGAGGAAAAAAACGTGAATGTTGGGTTCCTCGGGATGCTTGATTTTGTTCAGCAAGGGACCCAATCTGATCACACGGTTCTACCGAATTCTTTTGGAACATGAACTTCCCTCTTCTTTGGACAAAGTATTTTTATCTGATGTCTTCGTTCGCCACGCGTCTCATTGTTGACGCCGATACATGGAGCTGATTGGCGATGGCTTGATTTTCCGGGGATCTCGTCTATTATAGGCGGAATTGAGTGGAAGAACTATACATTCTTAACCAATTCTGACAGTCTAAAATTTTTGGCATTGTTTGCCCTCTCATTCTCTTTATATATATATATTAAGAAATGGACAAGGTCCGACAATTTATTTATTAAAGACATTTTTATGTTTAACGTTGTTATTTATAGATAAATTAAATGTCTTTAATAAATAAATTGTCGGACCTTGTCCATTTCTTAATATATGACGTCATTTGTTTACATTTGATACGCCAGAGCAGTTATGAATGTACGAGATTCATGGAAGATTGAAGTTTATAAGCAGTAAATTCGACACTGTCTACCGAATGGTTCTTTGTGGCCGAGACGGTTAAGGCACGTCAACGTAAATGACGGTTCCGTATAAGATGCAGGTTCGAATCCTGTCAAAGAACGAATATTTTCTATGAAAATTTCTCGGACATTCAGGCCGGTAAATGTTATTTAATAGTGTTTATCATAAACAGAGCATTTGCTTAAATGCTTGTATCTATAAATAACAACGTTAAACATAAAAATGTCTTTAATATATATATATATATATCTTATTATAAAACGCAGATTATGTGTGTGTGTCTGTAACGTTTATATATTGGATCGGATTTCCTACATTTTTCAACCGATTTCAACAAAACTTCACAGGACTACATAAAATTACCTTGTGGTGGTTCTAACAGCGCCAAAAATGGGAAAAATATAATTGTTTTTGCACAAAATCAATTTGAAAACACGATTAAGAAACATCATGAAAATGGAAGGGGGACAACTCACATCGGGTTGTTTGTGTGTGTGGGTTCCTTTAAATATGGGAGCGGATTTCCTATATTTTTCAACCGATAAAACAAAACTTCACTTTTTTTCTTTTTTTTTGGCAGGTAGTTGTTCTTATTCTCTTGCACACTTTTTTCTTTATTTTTAACATTCAGAATGCTTTAAAAATTCCATTTACAAGACAATTATTTATAATAAAATTCTTTTCAATCGGGAGACTCATAACGATTGAAAACAATGTTTTTGTTTGAGTTTGGGTTTGACCAATTCGTAAAAAAAAAAAAAAAAAAAAAACTAATTAAGACATGCGTGTCCGTCAAACTTAAACAATATTCTAACGATCTCTACTGATTGTACGAATACAAACATCGGATAAATTCTTTATCTTTAGGGAAAGATAATGAAATCTAAACATACACAAGTCCTAACTAAAAATAATAACCGGAACGGGAAACTACTTTAAATACACATGGTGTCCATTTTTTTTACTGTATTCAATAAGTAAAAATCATAAATTGTAAAAGATTATTATTACAGAAAGGCTACTAAATGAATAAGATTTGTTAGATCATAATTAATAAATCCAAATAAAGTTAATATTTTTGTATTAGAAACAACGAGTGGAAAATATATTCAAATCAGAATTTTAATTATGAATCACCACAAGCAAAATATGCAATTTTTTACTGTATTCAATAAGTAAAAATCATAAATTGTAAAACTAAAAGATTACAGAAAGGCTACTTACATTTTTCAACCGATTTCAACAAAACTTCACTTTTTTTTTTTTGGCATGTAGTGTTTCTTATTGTCTTGCACACTTTTTTTTTATTTTTACATTCAGAATGCTTTAAAAAATTCAATTTACAAGACAATTGTTTATAATGAAATTCTATTCGATCGGTAGAGACTCATAACGATTGAAAACAATGTTTTGTTTGAGTTTTGGGTTTGACCAATTCGTAAAAAAAAAAAAATAATTAAGACATGCGTGTCTGTCAACCTTAAACAATAATATTTGTCAATTTTATTTTTCAGTCTTTATGATGGTGGATACTTGATCTATCTCTTACTGTTATATCCCCGGGCAACGCCGGGCTCTACTTCTAGTATATATATATATATTGGATACAAATGAAAACTAAGAGTTACTCGCCTTGAACAATGAAAACAACGATAATGGCTAGTATATGACTTTCTCTCTCTAGGTGGGTTTGAAAAAATATGACAAGATTTTTAATTAAAGATGATAATGATGATGACGATATATATATATATATATATATATATATATATATATATCAATCTCGTCGATGCTTTAGACTTAATAATCCATCGGGTTAAGTCAGGGGAATTACTGTGCTATATGTTATGGGTAACTATAAATAGTGAAATTTCTTATTTTGTTCAGCAAGCTTTTCGACCTTATCACGCGATTCTCTCCCGTATTTTTAGACATGAACTGGCCTCTTCTCATAACGACCGATTTGTATTTGATGTCTTCGTGCAACAGGCGTCTGATTGTTGACTCCGACATGTGGAGCTGATTGGCAATGGACCTCATTGATTTTCCGGGTTTTCTCGTCAATGATGAATAGTTGAACAAACTCAACATTCTTACAATGGCTGTAGAGGGCCTTGTTGTGTCTTTTGCCACATGAAGACACATTTTTTTTCAGAGGCCTCTAGCTCTTTTCATAAACGCGAACGTCCTGGTGATATTTAAGCCTGAAATCCACGAATCTGTGTGATTGTCATCTAAAGCAAAAGATATGACTTTCAATCTTCTGCATTAGATTCGAGAGATTCTGGGTGGGTTTGAAAAAATATGACAAGATTTTTAGTTAAATGGTCATTTATGGCTTTTGTCTTCTGAAATACATGGCACACCCTACACACACACACACACCACATCCTCACACACTACACATTCATACACGCGCGCGCATAAGGCGGTACTGAATGAAGTGTGAGATATGAATGAAAGGGTGTGTGGTAAGAAGTGAAAATCATGAAGATAAGGATAGCTAAAACTTGAACCTTGATATGAAGAGGTTAAGTTTTCATTGGTGGACGCGGGAGTCGATTCCACAAAATATCAGTTCTCAAGGGGGAAAAAAGCCGTCTGAATGGAAATTTCTCTTTTACTTTTAGAATACAGATAAAATGCGTGTGTTTTAACTCCGTGAAAGTGGCATGGCGTGTTCTTGCTGTAAAGGTCTGAACTGGTGGAACTAAGCAATCTGAACATTTGCCATGGAAATAGCGACAAAATAGCGATAGTTAGATAGCTACTTTTTTTATCGAAGCATTTTTTTAAAATCATTTCACAACCCCCCCGCAAGCAAGACGATAATGCCACTAAGATGCAAGAAGTTACTGGGAGGGGAAAAGACTTAAGTAAAGAGAAAGGACAATTAAAGAACAGGATTGAGGAAGATAGAAGACCTCGATTAATGTTGAATATAATTTTTTGAAGATTGACGGTAACAGGGTCGCACGCCATCTTGTACCTTTTTAAGTTTTCTATTTGTCCGTGCATTGAATATTGCTGCTATATCTGATCTGATGCTCCCGCTATATATCTTGAGATTCTCGATAAAATACAAAGTGTATGTAATGTTATTAGTCTTGACCTGGCATCTCGGCTTCAGTTACTTTCCCACTGCCGTGACGTAGTTTGTTTGTGTCTTTTCGATAAATATTTTCATGGCACTTGCTCTAATGAAATTTTCTCCTTGGTACCGCTGCTGCGTGAATTTAATAGGACTTCTAAATGGCCAACTACGTCTCATTGTTTTCCTGCTGAAAGATGCAACCGTAAGTTCTGCTCTTTCTCTAAGTCTTTTCTGCTGATTCACCCCAAAATAAAAAGAATTTATATTTACTAAAATTCACACTAAATTCTCTCAGAGCGAGGCCCTTCGATTACACTTCGGTTGAGTTGACCTTTACGATCGCCTCAAATGTGAGTGACTTGGTTGCGCAATTTCTAAGTGTGGGGTCTGCGATCGCACTTACCCCGATACCAAAAACAAATTTTTTTTTTTGATTTTTTTTAACTGTAAATAATTCCTTGTAAATATCTCGAATATCATCTGCACTTAGGAAATGTGAATAACTCCCTGATTTTTGGTAATTTTTAATTCTGTGGGTTGGAGTTGTTGCGAGGCAAGCTAAACAAATTTTGATTTAAAATTTATAATTTCAAAAGGGTGCAATAAATTTTATAAAAAACAAACTTTGATTTAAAATTAATAATTTCAAAATAGTGCCAAAAATTTAATTAAAAAAAAACAAAGCTTTGATTTAAAATTTATAATTTCTTAGGGTATGTTATTATTTGCAATAGGTGAACTCTTACGCGATATCTGTCCTCCAGTACGGCAGCGAATGCTGGACAATCTCCTCAAAGATGAGGAAGAGACTTGAAGCAATAAAAATGTAGTTCTACAGAAGGATGCTGAAGATACCATGGAACGAAAATGTTAGCAACGACTAGGTTTCGGAGAGAATGGAAGCAACAAGAAATTTATTCTTAACATCAGGAAATGACAGTTGAAACTTCTGGGCTGCGTAATGAGGAAGGGGGGCTTAGAAAATCTGATACTCACAGGACAGATTGAGAGCAAGAGGGACAGAGGAAAGCAGCGCGTAACAAACTTGATGGGGTTGAGTAAATCGAGGGTAGAACAGGGTTTGGGGAAAATAACAAAAAGATAAAACTTATTAAGAGCTACAAGTACAGGAAGAGGTGGAGGGCCATGATCGCCTACATTCTGAAAAGACACAGCATATAAAAGAACTTTACATTATTTGAGGTCAATTAACTGAAAGATCCGTTTACTTTTCTCATTTAAATGATGAAACTGAATTACTTGCGATGTCGAATTAACAATGATATTTGTATGATGCTGAGAAGATTTCATGTCTTACTTTTTCTCAAATTGTGTTAAGTGTATCGTGAAAAAAAAAGTAATTGGTTTTAGTGCGACAGACACACGCGTATATAGACGGACATGAATTACAAAATAGAAAACAGAGTGAGAGAGGAAAAAGGAAGTCTTCTTGTCTTATATAAATCCCACGTGTTTCTCGTACATAAAACAAAACATATCCTATGTTGTTTTAATCGCAATGTTATGCCCTAAGCCTTAGAAGGTTGCCTCAAATTAATCCTTTCCCCGAGCTGTCACGAGAAAGATAGATGATACTTCACTAATAGCTATTCGGTGTTCGAGCAAACCATCTGAATGGGGTGGCACGACATTTCTTCTGACAGCCGTTCAAATATATATTTCTATTTAAGGAAGTAATCGTGTAACCAGCTTTTCGGTTAAGTTCTTATACTTTTAAATATGAATGGGGCATGGAAGATGTGAGCAGTGTGAATAAACTTATTTCAACTTGCCACGGCATCGTATAGTTCATGAGCTGTTTCATTTCATCGTTATAATTTATTCTTTATTATATATTGGCTTAATTATTTCCTTACATTTGTTTTCGGGGTAATGGGACGCTGTTGTTGAAGGATCTTCTACACAAAGAATAACAATTATGTGCCGATCATTAACTGTGACACTGTCATAAAAATGTGGTCATACACACACACACACACACACACATACATACATATATATATATATATATATATATATATATATATATATATATATATATATATATATATATATATATTATACGATGGAAAGTTTAAAACTTTTCGGCTCGACCCACTTGCCAAAATCTGATAAACATTAGATTTTTTGTGAAAAACTTTTTCAACAATCTCTTCTCATATATTTATGTATGTGTGTGTGTGTTATTTTATATATATATATATATATATATATATATATATATATATATATATATATATATATATATATATATATATGTTTCATTAAAGACGACAGACAAGGTACGGCGATTAAGCATTTTATTTAATTTTTCTCGTGTTCGAACAGGTGTTTTCTTTTCTGGACACAGAGTGTATAGAAGCTGTTCAAATGTTCTGTAATTTCGAGCGCTTTCGGCTATACTTTTAGCCATTGTCAAGGGTTATTTTATTTTTACATCTTAACTGGATGTTTGGATAGTGTGTTAATCATCATTACACCTTTTATTTATAACTGACAATACGTTTCTCGATTGAAATGCTCTCTCACACACGCGCACTTTCTTTCTCTTTCCCCTTTCCTTCTCTTTGTTTTAATATCATATTCAATAAAAATCAAGAAGCAATTGAAAAAGAATTCTGTCCAAACACACAACTATAAGTGATAGTTTTTTTTTAAATTTATTTAATAATAATAAAAAATCATTTTAAACATTTTTAGTGGATACTCGTATTTGAGTAGATGTTCTGTTTATTTATTAAACAATATATTTATTTTTGTTTACCGGCCTTTGTATTCGAGAAATCTTGTTAAAGAAAAATTTATCCTGCCAGAAAGCGTAAATTTTTCTCGAACATTCAGGCCGGTAGACGAAAATAAATAAATAAAAAAAAGGAAATTCGGGATCAATCGAGTCAATGCGAACGATCGTTTTCTTAGCAGCATAGTATGTGCTTCACCAGGGTTGCATACAGCTTTGGCATACTTACCTGGCACAGGTGGTATCATGGCTATGAATGGTTAGACGAGCTCTCACCAGGTAGGGCAAGCTATAATCAGCTTTGACTAGCTTAAACGAGCTCTGACCAGCTTGGACAAGCTATGTCCAGCTAAGACCAACGTTAAAAACCGACCTAAATGATCCTACCCCATTGCACTAAAGGGGTAAGATCAGAAGACATACCGATGCCAATGCAATCGACGTTTGCTAGTACTAATATTCAAAGGTCCTAAGTAGGTTCCGTTTAGACTAGGCTAATTTGCACCCCTATTTATGAAGTAGACTAGCCCCAATCATAACTCCGTCCTGGGTAAGACGTTAAACTACAACCGCGTCCTGGATAAGACGTTAAACTACGTCCAGCAGCAAGGCCTCTGATCAGGAGGTTTTGAGGAGCGTGGAACCACCTCTTAATTGCTGGTGTTCCCAGGTTCACCCTGATCCGGAGTGGTAGCACCTGTTAGGGTCCCAGCTATAGGCAAATAGTTAACTATTACCAGCAATACAATTTTGAAGGAAATATATTACCAGAAACAGACTTTTGACAAAACAAAATATTACCAGCAATAAAAAATGTTGTCGGCATTGAGGTTGATAAGCCGTAAAACAAAATAAACCAAACGAATCTAAACCAAAGAATACATATTCTATTCATACGAATCTATCCTAAAATTGTTGCCAGCATTAAATAACCCATTGAGGTTGATATGCCATAAGACAAACCAAACCAAACCAATCATAACTCGGGAGTTTTTTTCTGGAGTAGGTTGGACTATAACTGCTTATATTCTGGTAGGGGGTTAATTTCGGCTGCTACACCGACTAAAGGAGGTAGGCTGAGGGTGGAGCGATCAACTCTCTCCCATAATAACCAATCTACTACCGAAATTACAGAAGCCTACAGGTACTAATGATTGAAACAAAGGAAAACAATGCTAACAGCGAAGAGAACGTACTGGACAACTCGAGAAAGTCCTTCATAGCCTAAAAAGTTTTATTCTCGACGAGATGAAACTAGAGTCGCCAGCTTTGAGTTACCAGTAGATAATGAAATATATCTTGGGGAGTAAGATATCTACTAGTAAAATTGATATTTGCTCATTCTTTTTTGACTTGATTAACTTGGATCTTAACTCCATACTGAATGTTTTTGTTCTTGCTTTTTTTTTTTTTTGTTTTTTTACAGTAAGGTTTACTATGTACATGGCTAGGCGGCAACTCAAAGTAGAGGGTTGCGCCAAGGGGTAATTTTTATGAATAGGAGGGGAAGAAAATGGTTAACCTTTGACTTGAACAGGTTAAGATTGTATTGCTCGAGAAAAGATCCTCTTGAAGTTTGATCTAAAGAACACTGGTCCTAGCCGTGAACATTGGACCTGACGGAACCAAGGAATCTATTTCATGGAAATAGCAGTAGAGTAGTGAGAGACTCGCCACATATCACCCGTAAGAGAGAGATTAGATGATGGAAAATAATTCTTCTCCAACAAGGAGACGGAGACGTTTTCGAATTATATCAAGACAGGAAAGTGACGATAGATAGATAGATAGATAGATAGATAGATAGATAGATAGATAGATAGATAGATAGATAGATAAAAACAGACTGTAATACAGTACTGGGCAAAAAACGTGACTTAGTGTTATGGGACCTTACCCATAATAACATAATGGACTATTCCATACGTAATAAATACTGCGCCTCAAGAGGAAGCAGCGAGTTCAGACCGGCTGATTGGCTGATTGGTTTAACTCTCTGCCTGCGGGTGGGGAGGAACCCGAACGAGGCTACGCCGAAGGGTGGAGTCTCTTTCGGAGAGGTAAACCGACCCTGAACCCGTTTATACGGGTTCAAAGGGCATATTTTTGGCCGAGCCCTCGGGATCAAAGATTCCACGTTAAACCGGCTTTGTACCACATGATGCCCTCGTGGGGGGTGACTAAATACTGTTCAGTCTGAAGTCGGACGACCGTCTAACTGGCTGATCGGTTGAACTCTCTGCCTTCGGGCGGGGAGAAACCCGAACGAGGCTACGCCGAAGGGCGGAGTCTCTTTCGGGGAGATAAACTGACCCTGAACCCGTTTATACGGGTTCAAAGGGCATATTTTTGGCCGAGCCCACGGGCTCGGAGATTCCACGTTAAACCGGCCTTGTGCCACATGATGCCCTCATGGGGGGGTGACTAAATACTGTTCCGTCTGAAGTTTGGAGTTCCGTCTGAAGTCTGTGTTCAGTCTGAAGTCTGGCGTGAAGTCCGTCAGGAGTATGTCAGTCAGTCAGAGCGAGTCAGAGGCAGTCCGAAACAGAGTCGCATTCAGACAATTACTACTAAACCTGATTGTTCGTACTAACACTTTCTACTTCTCTGTATATATTCCTGTTTGTAATATATCTGTGTTATTCCATACCTGTGTGCGAGTTCTTCTTTATTGGTTCTACCTTGGACTATCACCGTGGTACAAGGAACCGGACCATAACACTAAGCAATAATGTTTTCAATTATTTTTAACTTTAATTACAAATAAAATATTTTGCTTATTTTTTCAATTAAAAATATACATATTATTAGTAAAATTAAAAAATAATTCGGAACTATTATTATTTGAAAAACAAAACATAAAAAATAACCATTTTTGAATATTTAACAATTTTTCTACTGTGCAAAAAAGTGACTCATTAAAAAAATGTGACATTATTTAAAAAAAAAAAAAAAACTAGCAATTTTATTTCCATAATTTTATTCCAGAATATTCTTAAAAAGTCTAGAAAGTTCTAGAATTATTTTAAGGTATATAAAAGAAACCAAAAATATAATTAATTAATGATTTGTTATGAAAAGTTATAAGCGCAGACCGCAATCTGTTAAAATAGCAATAGTTACCCTATCAAATGCTGGTGAATCGACTCATAGAAATTGCAAATAGTGTCAACACTTGTGAATCAGTTGTCTCGAGGGTTTTGAGAAGCTTCAATTCCACTGAAAGATTTGTCAGGGTAGAAAACGGGTGGAGGAGAAAACACAAGATCGATGAGAGAACCAGCAGCAAAATCATTACAGAAATTGACCAAAACCGATCAATTACCAGTACAGAAATTGCTGCTGCTTTGAAAAATGATCTCGAAGTAAGTGTCAACTCTTCTACTGTACTCTGATAGCTCTTGAACGAAGGTTAAAAAGCCTATTCAAATGTTTTTAAGCCACTGCTAAATAAACCACATAAGGCTAAACGTTTAACATGTGTAGTGGACCGTGGCGGTGGTGTTGAGTAGAAGTAGATGAGTACACGTGAGTTAAGATTTTCCTGCTAGCCAGTCCAGCTACATGAGAAAGTTGGACTTTAATTAAGTCCAAAGAAGACAAAGAAAAACAAACACAAGACCGATAAATATATGTAAACAAATATATGTATTAATAACAAGAAAGGTTACAAGTTACATGGACAGAGTGCGTGTGGTAAATATTATGTGTGTGTGTTGTGTTGTGGTGGGTGTTCGTCCGTACGTGTATTGTTCTTAGCGTGTTCCCAGCATTTGGGAAACGCTGTATCTGTGAGCGTTCACATCTGCGAGGTGGTAAGTCTGAAAGCCTGAGACAAAAAGAGATTTACCTCCAGGTGGCCGCCCAAAGGCCTGAGGGAAAAAGAGGAAGAGGCGAAGGGTCAGCGAGTATTTATAGACAGGGAAGAGAGACCCCTGGTGAAAGGGTTAAGGAACTAAAGGAGAAGTTAACTCCGACACATGGGCAAACACTTACAAGTCCTTCACTGAGTCTGATTGGAAAAATGTTCTTTTCTCCAACGAAACAAAAACTGAAATGTTTTAAAAAGACAAAAGAACAAAAATCAGACATAGGAGCAAAGAAAACCCTTTGAAAATGACAGTTAATAATAATAATGTGAAGCATGATGTCAATTTTTTGGTTTGGGGTTGCTTCTTATTCAATGGGACTGGATTTTTCAAACCAATAAGCAAAACGCTGAACAGCACTCAATACTCAAAAATATTAGACAACCTGCTTGCTGCCATCTGCCGAAAAACTCGAAAGTGATCAATCAAATCTCATTTTTATGCAAGACAATGCTCCCTGCCGCACATCAAAGCAGATGAAAAATTACTTTTCCGAAAAAATGTCAATGTTATGGTATGGACACCGCAGTCTCCTGATCCAAACCCAATCGAAAATTTATGGAGTGTAATAAAATTGAGACTTTCGAAGGAAATCATTCAAAACAAAGAAGCTTTGATTGAAAATTTTATTGTAAAGTGGAACAGTTTGCTAGGAGATGGCATCTGCAAAAATCTCATTAAGAGTCAACAAAGTTCTGAAAAACAAAGGTGAAAGCATAAATTACCAATGAAAATTTTTTTTGTGTTTTTATTTTATTAAATTTTATTTTTTAAGAAAATATTAGATTAACTTCGTACATAATTAATACAGTATAAAAAGTGAGTCACTTTTTGCACAGTAAATATTTACATTAAAAGCAAAAAATAAAATGCTTTGGGTTTGTTTCTTAATTCTTTTTTTTTTTATTACTTGTAAAATAGCAGACAATGTTTCATTTCCCTTATTTATACACAATTTTTAAAACTGTTTTTTTTATCTAAAATATTAAGAAAAACAAGATTTTTTCCACCAAAAATTTAACTCGGTCACTTTTTTGTACAGCACTCTATATTTAACCATTATGTGTTAGATAGATAGATAGATAGATAGATAGATAGATAGATAGATAGATAGATAGATAACGTAGGTAGTTAAATTTTACAAGTACATGACTACACTGACTGGTAAAGGAAGATTGCATTATGTCAATATTCAAATGAAGAGAACCTGCGGATGTTCTCTGGGCTTGAATATGGATCATTGACCCTGGATGGCAAATATGAAAGATAGATAAAAAAATACACAGATACACACAGAGTCTCTCATTCTCTCTGTCTCTGTCTCTGTCTCTGTCTCTCTCTCTCTCTCTCTCTTTATATATATATATGTGTGTGTGTGTGTGTGTGTGTGAAACCAAAGATGGAGGACAAAGATCAGCTACATTCTGAAGGACATGAGAAGAGAACAGAATCTTTTAGGTGTCTATTATCAAATCCTATATCATCAGATAGCACTTCCAAAAATGAAATGAAAGGAAAAAAAAAAAAAAAAAATATATATATATATATATATATATATATATATATATATATATATATATATATATATGCATCGACAAAGCTGTGCTGCTAGATAGATTTTTTGACATTGATAGCTGTTTACAATTGCTTTTTTTTTTACAATTTCTTTTACAATTGCTTTTACTCGCAACTTATGAAAGGCGATTGTTTTTTTAACCAATAAGTATATTGAATAACTTGAAATTCAAAGAAGTCAGCTGAACATGAAAAAAAAAACCTCCATTCTTTCAGTAATGATTTATAGTCGTATGATGAAGAAGTCAAGTGCTTCACTTATCATTGAATACATTTTGCAAGTTACATTTTTAACCTCTTCAAATTGTTGAGGTTTGTCTACTTTATCCAATTTGACTTTTTCACGAATATCTGCGAGTGAGAAAGGATTCTCTCGGTGTAATTTCAATTGTGTTGGTTGATCTCTTTCTCAGTCCGATTTTGAGTAAAATATCTTTGTATTACTGTCACGGAGTACAATCCTTCAGGAAAGGTAAAAGAAACCCAAACTTCAGAATGCCTTCTAAGGCGTCTAAATGACGTATGACGCTTGCCTGATTGCACATGCAATAGCAGAAGAATAAAAGAGTTAACTTCAAAGCCTACTTGAGCATTGTGTTCTGGGAACTTTTAAATAAAACCTAATATATATATATATATTCATATATATATATATATATATATATATATATATATATATATATATATATATATATATATATATATATATATAGAGAGAGAGAGAGAGAGAGAGAGAGAGAGAGAGAGAGAGATTTATATATGTATATCTGTGTATGTGGGGATGTGGGGGTGTTTGTATGCGTTTCTGTGTCTGTCTGTGTATCGAAGAAGTTATCGGCGTTGGAAAGATAGGATTGGCGTGCCGAGTTCAAATTCCAGCCGAGGCCGCAAAATAAAGAATTATATTTATATAAAGAATTATATTTATATTGAGAATTATATTTACATAAAGAATATATATGCAATCGTCAGGCCTGACGATTGCATCTAGCATGAAAACAAACTGTCGCCTCTAAGTGTTGACTTCTATGTTCACTTTTATATTTACACACGCTCTATCTCTGATATTGAGCACTTTATCCCATAAATATAGCACACTATAAGACTATATTTCTTCATATATATATATATATATATATATATATATATATATATATATATATATATATATATATATAGTTTATGAAAAAACTAGGTAATCCGTATGGGTAAACCCAAGGAGGATAAAATCCAAAGAGCTGAATGTAAATCCAGAGCAAATAATTTAAATAAATACAGACCACTTTAAGGTTCCATGTAATAAATTATTTCACCACAGCCTTTTTAAAGGACTGCGGATCATCAGACTTTACTTTGTTCTTTATTTTATCATCTTCTCAGATACCGATCTATATTTGATCTGCATTTATCTTTAACTCATATATTGACTGTCGGTGATCTGCACAAAGTAGAAATATAATGGCAACTGCCAGTTTCAAGTTTACGCTATTTTTAGCGTGAAACGACGATTCGTATTTGAAATCCTGCTTAAATCAATTTTTGCCATTTTATTAGGTCTGTTTAATATTGAGTACTATTTTTAAAAACTAACATTGCTTAACTGCAAGTTTTGTTGACACTGCCACCGTTTATATATATAAAGAAAGGGAGCTATTTTCTATTCATTAATCATTATTTTTTGTGGATACCCGTATTTGAGTAGATACTTCGTTTATGTATTATTCTTAGATAAAAATATGCGCATATTTTTCTCTAATAAAATTTCTTGAATATTCAGGCCGGTAGACGTAAATAAATAAGTATACTGTTTAATAAATAAACGGAGCGTCTACTCAAATACGAGTATCCACTAAAAATAATGTTTAAATATATATATAGAGAGAGAGAGATAATATTAGTGGAAAATATACATACATATGAAAAATATATCTAAAAAATTCCCATACATGTATATTTTCAGAAAAAATTTTTTCAAGAGGAAGGATCCAGGTAGAACTCAATGTCTAGGACAGAGTAAGGATATAATAAAAAGGCTTAAACACTAATATTCCATGGTCATAATTTATTCCATTGGAATCGTAAATACGATCCAAATCATCAGACCTACAAAAATCAAAATATATATATATATATATATATATATATATATATATACAAATTCAAAATCATATATATATATATATATAAAATTCAAAATCATATATATATATATATATATATATATATATATATATATATATATATATATTTTAAATTGTTAACTTCATTGTCAACAATAATGATTTACTGACAAGATCCAAATTACAGAGAACCAATATTATTTACGAATTCACATGTCCTTTAAGGAAATCTTTTCCTGATTAATCCAAATTCATAAATAATTATATTTCATATACTACAACATGCCTAACAAGAAGACTCGCGTTACATCTTTCTGATCATAGCTCAATTAGGTCTTATTTAAATACACATGGAGACTTACCAAATTCTATCCGTAACATACTCGTTGATAATACAAATATAATAGCCTCATCTATATGTAAAAATTAGCTAAAAATAATGGAGGCATTATTTTGGAAAAGAAAAGGCCAACACTCAATAATATCAACTATGAATACGGTCACAATATGATAAACTTATTTTGAAATTAAAATAGTCCTGTTATTCAGTTATAACATCCTATAACTCTAGATACATAAATTCAGTTGAAAATAAAACTAAAATTCATCCTTGATAACGGCTAAAAGTATAGACGAAAACGCTCGGACATACAAAACATCAGGACAATTTCTATATAATTTACGTTCAGGAAAGAAGAAAATTATAAGTATACATAAAAAATTAAATAAAAAAAACTTACTCGCAGTACCTTGCCAATTGTTTTTAACTAAACTTTTATAAAAGAGGGAGTGCTACCCAAATACACAATTTATATATTTCCTGCCACCTTCTGCTGCTCCTTCTATTCCACAACATACAGTATGGGCCACATAATGGCCTCCTAGTCCAACTACTTGATTTTTTCCAATCGTTGGAAGATTATGCGAATGCCCACAAGAAACTCCACAAGAAAACAGTTATTTATATATTGCACACAGATTACACAGTCACACACATTCATATATATATATATATATATATATATATATATATATATATATATATATATACAAAAACTAGAACTTGTAAAACTTGGGATGACCCATGCCCTTTATGCCTACATGAAAAACTACACATTATTAAGTTTCTAAATAATAAAAATCTATTAAACAATAGACATGAGTTAACGGTTTTTTGCCGACATCATCAAATTTTTGCATTGAATAATTAGCATAAAAACAAACAAACAATAAAATAATTTTTATAATCCATAGCCCTAATAAATAGTTTAAATACCCTACAAAAAAAGATAACCCTTTATGAAGTCGTCAAAAAACTAATGTTACGGCAGTTTTTTTTATATACGCAAAACCCGTTCAGAAAAAAATAAAATAAAAAAAATAAATAAATCTCCATAGACACGTAAACCAGACTAGGCGAAATCATCTTCCGCTTTAAATTTAGACACCCCAACCTTACCCTGACTTGACATCTATGAATGTAACTCTATACTGATACAAATTATTAACACCATACACCCCTTTATATTTAAACAATCGCTCTAGCCGTTACCATGGAAATTTTGATTTCAATAATGAATATGCTATTAAAACACGTAAATTTCAGAAATAAGTTATTCAAAAAAAAATTTCGCTTGAAGATGGAATAGAGCTTACTTTAATTCAATTTAATTCAAATAATTATATTGAAGTTTTCGGCTCTTGTTTTGAAACTTGAGAACTCTTATGTAGCGTGTTGGAATCATATTTTTAAATAAATAAATATATATATATATATATATATATATATATATATATATATATATATATATAATTTTTTTTAATCATTTCACTCCAGGCAATGTAGAAATGCCACTAGTACGCTGAGGGTTACATGGAAAGTGAGAGTAAATACTGACTATAGACAAAAGATGAACTGGATTCAAGAAGATAGAATATGGCGACTGACGTTGCATTTAGATTTTTTTAAGATTGCAGTTATTAGGGAAGCAATTAAACAGAAGGGAGTTCCACAAGCGGGAAGTACGAGAAAAGAAACTGATGAAATTTAGCTATTTCAACAGGAAGCGGGTGGAACGTAGATGCCAATTTAGTAGCACACTTAAATTCATACAGTCGAGGCACTAGGGTTTCTCGTCAGAGCAGTTGCTATGAAAATATTTGTAGAAAAGACAGAGGGAAACCACGTCACGTCGGCGAGAAAGTGACTGAAATCGAAATTCTTCCTTGGATTTTGTCAAGAACCTCGAGATGAATAGCAGAAGCAGATGTAGTAGCAGCATTCAATGCATGGCTGTATGGTAGATTTGTAAATGTGCAAGATGGACTCTGACGAGAAAAACATTTTCTAGCACTACACAGTGACCCAAATTTATATATATATATATATATATATATATATTTATTAAATAATAGATATCTAAAAGTAGTGACCGTTCTCTCTCTCTCTCTCTCTCTCTCTCTCTC